TAACCCCTCTCAGTTTGCGTACAAGTCAAACAGATGTACTACGGATGCTGTCTCTTTAATGGTGAACTTAATTTGTAAATATTTAGATGATTCACAAAATCCGTTCGTTGTTTTCTTTGATTGCTCTTCCGCTTTTAATTTCTTTCCACAATCTCTTCTTCTACGAAAGGGACAGTCACTCAGTCGCTCCAAAAATTGATTGTCGTGGTTAAAATACTATATCACAGGAAGGACTCAAAGAATAAAAGCGAACCGATATATTTCAAAACCGCTAGTGAATGATTCGGAGATCACTCAGGGTTCTGTGCCTTCTCTATACTTACCCTCTATCTCGCCAACCAAAACTTTTAAAGATGGTGACAATGTGGTCTTATTTCAAGCCCTTTGAAACCAATCGGACAGAATCACTTTATGACAGTTTAGCACCCGGTCTCCAGTTGAATACTTCTAAATGCTTCGAATGCGTTTTTGGTCTTTCCCGATTCGAGAATCCTTTGGAAGTCTCTATCATCAAATCCGTACCTATCACCAGAACACGCAACCAAATACCTAGGGATCACCGTAGAGAGTAATCTACGGTGGTCCTCTCATAGTCAGTGCTGGTGGACTGCGTCTCCTATCCTTCCAGAAAAGCACGCTACGGCAACTTAGAGTGAAGCACGTCACCATATTTTTTTTCATAGAGGAAATTCGTGTATAGAGTAAATGAAGGATGAACTAAAAACCTAGGAAGAACTGCACAACTGTTTCCACCTGGTTGGGTCTCATCAACAGTGCAAATTCATCGACCCGACTGGGGATCGAACCCGGGACCTCACAGGCAGAAGGTAAACATGTCACCCAGTAATCCGCTCAATCCCGATTCACCTGTTTGCAGCTCCCACACTATAACCCTGTCCTATTATCACGGCTAACCCTCCCGCATAAACACTTATCGCAATTCTCTCATGCTAACTGGCAAAACGAAGATCTGGAGTGAATTAATTTCAAACCTACAAAGATGATCTTGTGTTTAGATTTTATCATTCTTTCTTTCTCATTTTTTATTCCATTGTACCACTGAATATATATTTTTGACTGAAATGTAGCCATAGTTGCCTCCACAAGTCATTACAATACAATAAAAGAGTGACGAACTAATCTGTGCAAGCATGGCTTGCACGGAACACGGATCGTTCTTCGTCAATAGGAATTCCGCTGTGTGATAAAGCGGACATTAACAATCTCAGTGCATTTGGAATCGCACTCAGACCCATGCAATAACCCTTCTCAAAACCATTAACTGGAACATGCAGTGGAACAGAAATCTTGCGGAGAGTGGAGTGAGAGAGTGCGAAAATGTGTGAGTTAAGTAAAAATAAGAATAGTACCGATGTATTTTTAATTAACCTGGAAAGGGAGTCAAGTATTTGTTTGTTTGTTTGTTTTCCTTTTTTATTGCTGCTGTTAACACAATTTATTATAAACTTCAAACTAAAAGTAGTACACGAAATTTTGACATCTTGCAGTATTCTCTCCCTTTCTGTCTTTTTACTGATCAACAAACTAAATGAAACCGCTGCTGATGGAAAGTGGTGTAGATCAAAGATCTGTGAACAGCTCAGTAAATCGTCTCGTAACGGAAGATAAAAAGATCACGTCAGGAATACCGAGTCAACCAGCGAAGGTAAAAAGGGACTTGCACCAGCCTGCGTAGAACAACAGATGCGGTATATCTGTTCTCGACTCCACAAGCTTTATGAACGTATCAACTCGATTTCAAGAGCTTTGAACACACCAAACCAGAAATCATTCGACGCTTTCAAAACCGGACAGCTTGGCAAAAGAAGTGCAGGTCAATTGGAAGCCAACCTCAGTTGATGGCACAACTTGTCTGTTCCACAGGATCCATTTAGCATAAGATACTGAAAACAACTGATTCGAATATGCATGTTTTGTTCGTGGTTCAAGTGGACTATTGGAAGAATACGGGGGAAACGCATGAAGTCTATCATCAGAAAAAGTAAAAATTGAGCCTAATGTGAAATTCTTTCTGCATAATTTCCAATTCCGCTTCGGAATTAGGAAATGAAATCGTATTAGATGAGGAGTAGATCAAAGGATTATCCCATGGTTAGCCTTGTCGCATCGTTCCTCCCCGCTATGCTACCGTTCATCAGCCTGTTTACTTTGATTGATCAATCCTGTCCTCTTATGTGGTTTCTGACATGCATCACAACCATCATTTTATTATTATTATTATTATTACCGTCACTAATACACAACGAAACGAACTGACGCAAACTGGATTTGGTTGCTGAAAAGCTCACAACAGGCGCACGATTGCACAACACCGGTAACAAATGGGTTTACTTAAAGGGAAAAAACCATAGTGAACCAATATGTCAGAGACACGTCATCAATTGATCTTGGTACTAAAAGAGTGATAAAAACACTGACTGATCGTCGTTCTCCAGTACCGACAAATAATCAGACATAAATAGCATGTGACGACCTAGTAGTGAGAATGCCAATGCCTTCGATGAGGCGCACAATGTCCGATTGCCACTAATTCACTCAATCGCAAAAGGCTTCACTGTTAGAAAACATCGACCGACCACCAATCGTATAACAACGATTCGGCGAACAAGGAACAGTGTACAACAAAGTCATCGATTGATTCCGAGCTGATTTAAGTGTGCCCCAGGTCGGCCTCGTTAGCGATGGATCATTGTTCCACAAACTGAACTCACTGAACGTTGTTACATGCATCATTTACTATGCGCGAGGGAGTGCTGTACACTGTAAGCGAACATAACGAGTGCATCTGATTTAGCATATCTCACTTTGCAAGACACTTTATCCGAGTTATGGTTTCCCTGCATATTTATACAGGGTTGCATCACAACAATAGTTCCGCGTACACACACAACACAAGCGGTAGACGGAAAGACTTCAGTTTAAGTTTTTACAACCATTAACCATGCATTTTCGTGCGCCGGTTTTGGTTGCTGTATTTTGGCCGCCCATTTGGATAAAGGAGCAGAATGAAGATTGGAATGTTCGAAGTAAATTCAAGCGAAAGATAGAGGATTCATATAGACTGATAACACAAGAACATTGAGTAGATGCATGAGCGCCACCGTTTGCGACAACCAACCACATTGCTCTGTCTCTAACCACCGATAACCACGGTCTCGGGTTATCCATCAAGGGCGCCTAACTGGACCTGTGACCCAGTCTTCTGGTTAAGGTTTGCACACCCCCATGCCACGACTTCGTTTGACCGCCATGAACCTTTTTCCAACCGTTACCTACCTCGGTAAGCACCGCTCGCCGTGACAGCCTATCTGGTGACATACATAGCACATATCCCAACAAACGTAATCTACGGAGGTCGAACACTTGCTCCAGTGGACGACCGCGATTACCTAAAATTCCACTCCTAACCTCAGCTGCATATTGTCTTCGAAAGTCTCAGTATGATCGCAGGTGGGGGTCTAGCGTTGCGGCTCGTCAGCCTTCGCTTGCATCTCGCGAAATGCTCCCATCCGATCAGGCGTCTCAAATAGCTTCTGCTGAGGAAGCCCTACTCACTGCCTTCTCATGGTGGAGGTGCTTTCACACTAAAGTGAGAGGACGAAAAGCGAACCTCACCAGTGCTCACCCGGTTTCCCCATCAGATTCATGCAATACGACATAGACAGCGGTGTTCGAACACCGACAATCTATTTTTATCCTGTTCCATAATGGCCAAATCTCTGCACCGTAAAGCAGCACTGGCCGAACTGCTGCAGCATATACTCGACCCTTCACAGACAACCGGATGTCGCGACGGTGCCACAGATGTCTCAAGTTGGCAAATGTCAACCGAACATTCTGTATGCGCGCCGACACTTGATTTGTGATGCGTCAGTCAGATAAGAGATATAGCTGCCCAGGTAGCAAACATTGTCTATCTCCTCTGCTACTTCCCCAGTTAGTGAGGTTGGAGTTGGACCAACCCAACCTTAGAACAACATTTTACACTTTGAATGTGCAAATCTCATACCGAACATGATTACACTGGCACTCGAACTATCCCGAAAAGATTGCAACTTACCTGGATCTTCACTTAGTAGCACAATGTCGTTTGAATACTCTAGATCAGACAGTCTACACCTGAGAGTAAATCGATACCGCTATCCTCGCATGAGGACAGGGCTGTTTCAAGAACTAAATCCATCACGAAGTTGAATAGAAACGGAGAAAGAGAGCAACTTTGTTGAACACCACTTTCTGTAGTGAACTCGGACGAAAAGATGCCGTAAGCTCGGACTCGTCTTCGGTTGTTAGTATAAATGGATTGTAAGATTGAAATAAACTTCTCGTGCATACCCTTTAGAGCGGTGCAACGCCAGAGTAGAGTGTAATAGACTGCGTCGAAAGCCGCTTTCATTTCCAGGAAGATGAAAATGGTGAGTCTACGAAATTATCTGTGTTCTAGGATTTGGCGAAGAGTGAAGATGTGGTCTATACAATCTCGACCTGGTCTAAAACCAACCTGCTTCTCACGCGTGCACCGTTCAGGTGCGGCAGACAAGAGGACCTGTCGCCCTTCTTGTAAATCGGTATGATCACCGGTTCACAGCATTCAGTTGGAACTTGTTCCTTTTACCCACTGAGCTCAGGAGTTTCTTTAACTCCAAAGCCAAGGCTGGTCTCCCGTCCTTGAAAACCGATGGGGACAGCAGAAATCATACTACGACCGCGGGTGCAGTTTAATACTCCAAGCCCCCAGCTGTAGTTCAGAAATCCCTTCATGCATGAGAGACCTGTCTAATTTTATACCAAAACATGCAACAGCGTCGCGTGCAAATCATAATTTTATATTAAATGAATACACAGTATGTACAAGTTATCTTTTTAAAAAATGAAAGTTTCGTCGCATAACTAGTTATATAAGTAAGTATATGCAAAATTCTCGCAACCCAGTCAGTTCTTTTCTATTCCCACCGCTCACGGTGTATCTCGAACCTGGTTTATCCCGATATTTTCGCCGCCTTTAACGCCTCAATCAATTGCTCCGTTTCGGCTTTCCGCTGCAACTTAGCCAACTGATCCGCATTCAAGACTTCACCGTTTCTTTGTTTCTCTTCAATCTGTTCAATTTGTCGAAGGCGTTTTAATTCCAAGCGTAGTTTACGTTCTGCTTCCGAGCGGCGCGATTCCACTGTGACCGGGACTGGGGTATCATGCACGGTGGTCTTCTGTGAATCCACCACTTTATCTGGAATGGATTGAGCGTTATGAGGTGTTTCAGCTGGAAAAAAGAAGATAGGAATCTTGTTTAGAGACTGATGTGCGAGTTTCCAAACCAGCAAACCGGTAACTTCTGAACCGGCTTGAGTTAAAAGCTGAAGCGTGCATGTAAGCATACGTAAGATAAACATTTGATTTCATCTTTGGTTAATGCAAGCAGCTTTTATCTCAACATGTCCATAAACCATGCAATATCAGAAGGGAAAGAGGCCACCATTTTGTAGAACTAAATAGCATCAGTTTTAAGTCATGAGCTAACAAGAGTTTCTTCAACTGCTTTATAAATTGTTTTACCAATGAAAAATCTTAAGATCACAAACACAATCACACTAAAATATAAAAACCGGGTTAAAAACAATATAAACCGTTATTCTCGTTATTCACCTTAGCTGCTTGACCCCCTTTAAATCTCCTTTTTATCCCAACCAACCATGTTTCTGTTATTCTTGTTGTTGCGTTGGCACCATGCTTGCTCGCGAGCCAGTTTTGATATATATATATCCTAGGATGCTTTTTGCTACATTTGGTCTGGTGTTTAGGCTCGTGACCAAAATTAGTCGTGATTATACCACGCACAGTAAAATTGATTCGTCATAAAGAAGGCTGTGAGCTCGTCTGGACTCGTTTATTCGAACTAAATAACAATATCTTCAGAAATAAAGTGTTCAGTTTCGAACGAGAATACCTGTTGGTGCTGTGGTTAGCTTTATTTGTCATTTTCGCAATCAGAAACGAACTACTGCCAACTAGTTAGTAACATGTTCAGATGTATAGCATTACTATCTACATCGTTATCGTTGTCTAGGGTGAAGTCACCGTCTAATTGGCGGCACTTCGCATGAGACACTGCTGAAACGAGTCAACCTGTGTAGCCTATGGTCAGTCAGGCTGTACGCCACCGGGCCTTCCTCCAGGTGGTGGATAACAGAAAGGCTACCTAGTTGGTCATCCTGAAAAGGTGGGCGTGCCTCTCATGGATACGCAGTTGCGAACGGTCAATGGCGTTCTTAAAAAAGGACCAGGCGTTTGCCTGTTAATCAAACTCTTCATTCATTTTTATTTTTTTATGGATTAATCCACAAAGCCTACCTATTTCTACATGGGAAGTTCAGGAATTAGGCGGTGGTGGCCCGGTGGTAACGTTACCAATTATCACCCCGGAGGGTGTGTTCGAATCCATCCCACCACCACCGCCTGACTCCCCATTTGTGTGTTGTATGGCAGCCCTTTGATTGGCCGCTTCCCCCTTCCTGAAAATTGCATCTTTGTATATTCAATAAAAGGAAGTAAAATGAAAAGAGAAATGCCAACGATCAGTCACAAGCGGTCTGTGTTTATGTTAGATGTGCCAGTGTTGTCAGTGTTTCGTTGAGAAGTCAAATGCATGACCCAGCTGGAATGATGAAGTCCAGTTCCGTGAATTCAGCAGAAATTCAACCTGAAGTCCTAAGGTTTCTTCTTTAGCTTAGTCTGTTGCTCCCTGCACTTGAGTATTCCTACACTGAAAGTCCCGATTCTGAACGGCATACGTGAATGATGATTTCAGATGGTTTTTGAAGTCACTAATTATGATGTGATACAGGCTGGTGAAACCCAAACGCATATTAAGTGGGTAAAATGCAAGTGTCCGGTACGAGCAGATCGGGCAAGCTGGTAAACAGGTACTGTACGTAGGATTTTTTTAGGTGGTAGAAACATCCGAAGAGAAGAGCAACTAGTGCAAAGTGCATGTGATTCAAAGCCCACGTTTTATTCTCGTCACCTCGAAATGACAGGAGTGTAGAAAAAGGGGTGATAATTTAGGGGATTTAGAAGGGCTTTGGGAATGGTTAAGATCGCATCGTTTTCTTCTAAAACTCAGGAAACCTAGCGCAAAGAGGAGAAAGAGAAAATTGGCGACGGATAACGGGGGCACGCATTTTGAGGACAGACGGGGGAATCCCGTCCGGGCCTGGTTTATAATTGGTTAGAGACCGACGGATGCATCCAACCCTCTTCGTGGTAAATATCGCCTTGGAAAGCGACCAAAATGCTCGGCTACAGACTGAAAAGCAGGCCAGTGATTCCACTTAGCAAAGAACAGAATGCGCTTTCGTCTTCCGTACGGTTAAGGAACAGATATTCAGGAGTCGAATGATGAAATAATGAAAAAACTGGGAGAAGGATGAAGCGGGTCAATCACGGAAGTTTCTTTTAATTAGACTCACAGCAGAAATAGTTGAACCACTCGGAGAGATAGGGGTTGATCGGGTTTGGTGCAGTGGGCAATGAAAGGATGCAATGTAGAATTAGACGTGATGGCAGAAACTGCCTAGGTGAAACAGAATCCATCTCGAGGATGAGAGCGAACATTGACAAAAAACATCTCAATCAATAGTAACAACGCCAAAATGTGCGTCAATATGTTAGAGGTAGGATGGCGAACCCTACCAGGTTTCATCCGATAGTGGAGACGGTAGAATCGTCTACCACAATGAAAGATACTGATCCGATGCGATAAATGTATTCTAAATTATGGTATTCGGTAACACTCTAATAGCCTTTGTCTCACTTCGAAAATTCCCCGACCATACTGATACCAACATTGTTATCATACCTTGAGTTGTGTTTTCATGTTGTGAACTATTCTGGGCCTTCTTAGACTTCTTCTTCTCAGTCGATTTGCCCGCTGTGGCCCCATTTTTACCCGCATCGCCCAGTTTAATCAGTCCTCGTTCCCTGCTGATCGCTTCTGCATCCTCCTGAGTCAAACCAGGGATAACGTAACGCGACTGACGCTCGCGAATTTGAGCGGCAACCGAACGGTAACTGGGAAAAGAGGAAAAAAAGAATAGATGCATGCCACGATTGACATTTAACCATTCGGCAAAAAAATTCTCAAAAATATCCTGCTTTCCCCAAAGGCAATAAAAAGGAAGACACAAAGCTATGGGAATATTGTTTGCATTACTATATTCCTTTGGTGATTAGAGTTGCACATTCAGCCTTCACGTTCAATGAAAGGCTCCGTAGATAAGCACATAAATGAAGATGGGTGGTGGGAGCGATGGTGGGAATCGAGCTCACGACCTCCGGGATATGCTTACTATTATTTTAAACACTTTACCACTTTTGTCTTCTTCTATGGAACAAAGTAGCCAAAGTTCTGGCAGACAGTCAAAGTCAAACGATGAATGTCAGGAAACTAAAAATTAGGGATATGAGTTGGAAATGATGATTTGAGTGGATGTGTTTTTGACTCATATATCTTGACCACTGTAATACAAACGGCATTGGGCACTAGTTTATCATCATGCACAAGTAAACAGTTAGGGTTGGACGTAAACAGTGTCATTATTGAGACAGCGTTGATAGAGGAGCGGGATCTTCCCACGTTCTCGTACATTATTAGGGGTGATAAAATGATGGAAATTGGAAACTGAAGAATGATGCGGCATTGAGGAAAGTGGCGCATTTATGACTGGCTCGAGTGAACCATATCGCTTGGAATTAATATGGCACCCGCAACGCGGTTGGAGAAACAAATTGTCGTGGCACACTTTGCTTCATTTAAATGTATCATACATTTTGTGTTTGTATTTTAACCAAAAGATATGGACTGATCATAATAAATCACAGTGAAAATGTTAAAAGATAAATCGGTGCTAAGAGCAGCAGAAACGAACACTGCTCCTGGTTTCGAACGCTTTCTTTGGCCCACCGAAGACCGTTATGCTACCAGAAGTATGCAGGTATCGCGATAGCAATAGGTCTACATACTTCCGCGGTATTNCGCGGTATTTCTTTGCGAAGAAGCCAACCCGTAGGAGCTTCACAGTCAGCTGAAGCAAAGGCTCCTTTTAGATCAAGGAGCACTGCGATTGCTGGCCGACTACGTTTGTGACATAATTTAAGAACTTGACGTACGGGTGAAGGTGTGGTCGATGGAACCGCGACCCGATCGGAATCCTGCTTACTATTCATCTCCCTTAAGAATGTCAGACGGCAAAGTATCACGGAAGTTAACACGTTTGTGATGATCCGAACTAAACTTATCCCCCATGGTTTCCGTAGTCGTTGCGTGATCCCTTCTTGAAAATCGGAACGATCAACGATTCACCCCAGGATAAAGGGATACGCTCCTCCGGCCAGATGCTGCGAAGCAAGTTAGTAATCCACTCGACGAGGCAGTCACCACCTAGCTTAAAAAGAATGGGGAGAAACCCAGAAAGTTTTGCTACCTTCCCTTTCTTTAACGATTCAATAGAGCTTCGTACTTCCAATTTTGTCGAAAACTCACATGTTACCATCCACGGAGTTTCGGCTGCAATTGCTGGTATAACCGCATTAGCACTAGGCCAATTGAACTGTTCACTAAAATACTATACCCAGCGGTCAGATCTTTATTTTGGATATTCGCCGCTGTCCACTTGTTAGGTAAAAAGACTATTTTTACCTAAAACTGACTATTTTTCGAGTGTCTGCAATTCGGAACATCTAGAACCAATACCAATCTCGCGGAGAATAATCAATCATATCGCGTCATACGGAGACATTCACTCCGTCCGTCCGATCCGTGATCGATTGAAATTCGCTAACTCCGTGACTTATGATCGACCGAACTTTGCTAACTGTACTTGACTGGCATAATCTTTTTATTGCATTAATCGATGCTATCTTGAGACATATATAAGCATCAGATTAAAACTTGTAAATTGACTTGCTTCCTGTATGTCGAGTACACGTTCGCTGTGCACTAACTGTGTTCTTGCTTACGTAGCTGGGAGAAGGCTACTAGTGCTCGTGGCGTCCAATCTGTGCTGTGATCGTACTCGTGAGGCTAGACGAATAGTGTGGCCATTGAGGTACGTGTGTTCCTCGTGTGTCATCGTGTGATATCTTGCTGTGTGTACATTGTGATCAAAAGAGATCCGGACACAACACCACTTTTATCGCAAATCGTCTCACTGATCGATATGCGTCGACCTCTGGTGCTGCGGATCAGGTGAAGCAATCTTTGACTATTCCCTGATGCAGAACCTACCTCCATTTTACTAGCCCATCGGTTTTTACGATCTTTCTTGAAGCTTTTCCTGAGCTGACACTGCAGGCGCCACCGAGTCCCACGCTAACCCTGGCAGACTGGA